CTTCTAACTTTTTTTGAATTTTTAACCCATTTTCATATTTATTTAATACTTTATTTATTTAGTTTTATAATGTTAGGGCATCTTTGAAAATCATTTTTGTGAAAGAGCTTCCCTCAATAAAGATTGTTATCATCAAGTTGATGAAAAAACTTGGTTGACTTGGCATTGCAGTGCATTGTGGGGTCATTTTCAGGGACAAAATAGATGCCATCTTAAAAATTTGTGCCCTAAATAGCACAGCGCACTGATTCTAAAAATAGCTTAAAGATTCGGACAAACATTGCACTCTGTTTAACCGCTACAAGGATTGTACAAACTGATTTTATTATTTTAACTTAAAGTTACAATAATAACCTATGTAAACTAAGATCAACTGCGATCGGCTGTGAAAATTATCTGCTAAAAGTAAAACTTGTAAGTTCGTTTGTCCGAATTTCGCCTTTGTCTTCATTTTTATGACGTCACGGTTGTGCTGCACTATTAGCCGCACAATACATTCCAATGCCAAATCTAGCCAGTTTGTTCCTCAACCTCAGAATGTCAGACTAAAAAATTGATTCCTCTTTTGCAGATTTCTCTTTCCCCCTTTTTTATCAACTTCAGAATGACTTATTAATTTTTTTTCATTCCACTGCAGGAGTGCTTCTGAAAGTGATAGAGGCTGCTGTAGCCAACACCACAGTTTTAACTCTTTGTGAGCTGGGTGACTCTCTGATACTAGAGGAAACCAATAAGGTTTACAAAAAAGAAAAAGAAATGAAAAAAGGTGCAGTATGATGAGTTTTACATCTCAACGCACAAAAGTATAACAACATTTAAAGTATTGGAATATTCCTATTGGCCACTTTGGAAACAAGTTGAGGAATGGGAATGGGTTTTTAGAATTATTCTAGCTAAAAATAGACACCGTTACAAAAAAGAGTACATCGAAATTAGCAAATTTCTGGAGTTTCACGATTTTGGGTTTCATACCTTTTGTCTATGTAGCAACCTGCCAAGCATTTTAAAAAATTTCAAAGAAATGTGTGGTTACTGGGGATGCTTGTTCCTAGTAAACAAATATCTCTTTGTAATCTTTGATGTTTTTCATTGCTTATAATTTAGCTGTTACTTAGCCAATTGAAGCCAAACTGCAGAAACCTGTTAATTTTGATGTGCTCTTTCTCGTCATGGAATTAATTTTATAATAAGATTAATAAGACTTTGCATGTACTCCATCCCAGTCCTTCGCTCGTTTCTGAAGTGCCCAATAAATAGGCTTTGTGATGCGAGCTTTTACACACTTTACTTGTTGAACCAGCCAGCTTCCACATTAATGTGGTCATACTTTTGAGCATTGTGCTGTAAATAAGACTATATGAATTGAATTAGTTTTGAGTTTGACAATTTACAGGGATTAAAATTTTTCTAACTGCATTGGAACAATCCCATTAGCACACAGCGTCAATATGAAAAGGACAAATCTATAAATGATAATTACTTTTTAAATGTTTCAGGTATTGCATTTCCTACATGTATTTCAGTCAATAACTGTGTGTGTCACTGTTCTCCTCTCAAAAGTGAGCCAGATGTGCCCCTCTGTGATGGAGATTTGGTCAAAATGTAAGCAAGATTCTAAATGCTTTGTCCTGATCAGTTTTCTATTGTCCAGAATTCATAACAAAGTTAGAGTTAATGGAGGTTTTGCACCATAACGTGCTCATGCCCATAAGACATCTTGGGTTACCTGTGGTTGGATGGCAAAATCATAAAATATCCCTTTGCTCTGAATAATTGAATTGTTTCTCACAGAAAACAATTGTATCATTAGTGCTATCTAGCATATAGATCATTACATGTAGATCATTACCGAGTGACAAAAACACATTTCATAAATTCTCTATAGAACTATTTCAAGTCACCAGAGTTGTACGTGAGTCTTCCTTTTAATTTCACTGTCCACTTTTTTATTTGGCCCTTTACATTAACAAATTTTTTACATGTTTCTTTAGTCAATTCCTGTGCTTCACGAGCCACTTTGCTGTTGTTGTTATTTTCTTATTGCTTGGTTCAGCCTCTTATTGAATACTTTTGATCCTGACCTCATTAGAGCCTATAAGGCTATCTGCTTAAAATTTCAATCTGCCTCCATAACCAACGTTTGCTGTCACTAACCTTTCTCTGGGCCTTTATCAGTGTTTTGCTCAGCCGACTGACCAAATGTGGCATAATTTACATCTTTATATTTGTATTCATATTCATATTTATATTTATAATGTATGTATTTATTTACTACTAGTATTCTATATATTTCTTTTTCTTTTCTCTGTCCCTAGTTATAATATGCTTTCTTTGTATTTAATATTGTAATGTGTTTACTTGTATCCTGTCTCAGGCTGAGCTTGTTTAGACTTCGTGTCTGTCCTCGGCCTGTGCTAAGCCGTTAAATAGAAAATAAAAAATTTAAAACATCCTCAATGAAATATATACCTGTACACAGGTACATCTGTTTTGCATGTTATTTTACTATCTCATTTCAATTTAAAATGTGGGTTACATGGAGTCATTTTGATGTTTTTTCTTACATTTTTATGTAGTAATGTGGTATAATAATGATAATTAATTTTATTCTTATTTATTTTGTTTTCTAGAGATTTTGGTGTACATATTGATGGGTTTATAGCTGTGGTTGGACATACTGTTGTAGTCGGAGCTTCCAAAGTAAGATTCAAATTTATTGTACTTTTTTTAATATTCTGCAAACTTGGTAATTACAAGATTGCTGCATGTTAGTATAGGAAATCGCACGATCTCGAGTACAATTTGGAAATTAATAGACACAAGTAATTTTTTGAAAGTTCTTGTAATTGCACGAGCCTTTAGGCGAATGCAATTAAAGAACTTTCAAAACATTACCAGTGTCTATTAATTCCAAATTGTACAAGAAGGTCGTGCGATTTTTTGTTTATAGTTCAAATGTTCAAATTTTTTGTTTATAGTTCAAAAATGCGAATCAACGCCGTTCATCTTTTGTCTATTTGGCGGCCGATTTTCAGTCCATCATGCAACTGAAATGCATAAAAAAGTTCTTACGGCTATAAAATTTTATTTATATGTTGCTTAAGAACAAAATGATAGAAAATAATTGTTTTGACATTTTTTGTTTTGGCTGTGTTGCCATAGCGACTTAATTCGATACTCCTATGGAGTACAAATAACGCTATAATTGTACTCCTCTCGACCAATCAGAGTCAAGTAATTTTGTTGAGTGTTCTATAAATTATGAAATTATTGTTTCTGGATGGAAATTTCAAAATTTCRTTTTCTTGCAGGAAAACAAAATCACAGGCCGCAAGGCTGATGTTCTACAAGCTGCATATCTAGCATCAGAGGTTGCACAAAGAATGGTCAAACCAGGAATAGAGGTATGCAAACTAATCTATACTGTGAAGCATCTCAACAATATAAACCACCATAAAGACTATGTCGTACCTTTTCACCAGTGGAAAATGTAACAACCTTCCATGTATTGTACATATGGTGGGAATGGGAGGGGGGAACGAACCCGATATGGACAATGGAGCAAACCTGTATTTAGCAAGCAACGAAACCATCAGTAAGGAATTCCAATTCAATCTCTAAATTAGCTGAGCCCTGACTTACATCATTCCATAGATTGTTTCAGGGTTTGATCTGTAAGTTAGCCATGCCCTGACTTACATCATCCCAGAGGTTGTTACAGGGTTCAATCTGTATGTTAGCTGTGCCCTGACTTAGATCAGCCCACAGGTTGTTACAGGGTTCTATTTGTAAGTTACATGTGCCCTGACTTAGATAAGCCCGCAGGTTGTTTCAGGGTTTGATCTGTGAGGTAGCCGTGCCTTGGCTTTATTCAACCCAGAGGCTGTTTTAGGGCACTGATGAAATTTAAAGGTAAAAATTAATTTTTATAATTGGTTTTGACATTAATTTTTGGTGATTTTTAGAATAATGCCATTACAGACCTTGTTCAGAAAGTTGCCGAGTCCTTTAAATGTAAACCTATTGAAGGTGAGCTTGCTTTTGATAACACTACCTCYAGTTTGGAATTGAATATTTGGTAAGGTGTCATTAGGTTGTCACTAACATGTTACTCATTGCATGTTAGGTATGTTATCACATCAACTTGGTAAAAATGTCATTGATGGTGAGAAGGCAATAATCCAGAACCCTACAGAAGCTCAAAGGTAATAATAATAATAATGATAATAAATAATTTTATTACTTATATATAGTGCAAAATCCATTAAAATATATGATCTAATGCGCTTTACAATCTTTACAATCATTAAGAATCAAACTATACTAAAAATATATCTACACAGCTACTCCGATCTCAAAATTAAAAATAAGCTTTCAAGGTGGACAAGATTCTATTTTTGTACCTTCTGTCATGGCTGCTATTACATGATGGTGCAAAGCCTCTATTAAAGTGCTACTACGACGAAAATTGCTCAAACTTGGATTCAGCTGAAACTTCCTAAGAATACTCTTTAAAGGTCCAATAATCACTGTATGAAGTGTTTTCTCTATATTCAGTACGAAAGTATGATATTTTTACGATTATTTTTTGGAGTCTGTGACGTCATACACTCAACATCGAACATCGCTCCATACATTTCTTCGTAGTTTATGATCAAAATATCAGTAGTAAAGGGAGAAAGAAATACCCAAACACCCCAAAATATAAATTATAGTCACAAGTAATGTGAAATAAGCACATTAGCTACCCTTTGGGCTTCATAGGAATAAAATAAATTAAGGATTTATATATGAAGAAATGTATGTAGCAATGTTTGATGTTGAGTGTATGACGTCACAGACTCCAAAAAATAATCGTAAAAATATCATACTTTCGTACTGAATATCGAGAAAACACTTCATACAGTGATTATTGGACCTTTAAAGAGTATTTTTAGGAGGTTTCAGCTGAATCCAAGTTTGAGCGATTTTCGTCGTAGTAGCACTTTAAGTGTGTCATTATCACAGTAGACAAAACTACATGTATAGATAGAAACACCAGTGCTCTGTCACTCTTGCTCCCAAAGGGATGACATGAAAGCATTACTAGAAAGGCCTTTACTTATTGCCAGCGTTCATTAAGCTAGCAGCTGGTGTTTCCAGTGACAGTGTATGCATTAGCCCCCTCTCTCCATCAGTCCTCTATTTTAAGAGTATTCAAACACACATTAGAGCGAGGTTGAAGTAGACGTGGAGATCCTGAGGATTGAACCGTGGACCTCTAGTTCCAAAGGCTGAACRATTAGCAACTGAGCTAACCCTGCTCCTTCTGGTCTAATGTGGCCAGATAATTATCAGGCCTGAGGTAGTTATGAAAGTATTGAGTGCAACATAAATTTTATCTTTCCAGGAAGGAGCATACCAAGTGTGAGTTCGCTGTCCATGAAGTATATGCCGTAGATGTTCTAATATCGACTGGAGATGGAAAGACCAAGGAAAAGGAGAATAGAACCACTGTATACAAACGGACTGCAGAATCTTACAATCTCAAGCTGAAAGCATCTCGAGGTATGTCAAACACGAATGGACGTTAGAGATCTTTAGCATCAGGATTACTGCTAACTGCTGGTATCAGGCCCAGAAACAACAACAACAACAACAATAATAACTTTATTGTGCCCAAGGAAAGTAAATCAAGTACAAAAATTATCTTTTATCTCCTATTATTTAGAAATAGCTTTAGCTAATCGAGCTAAACACACCCGCAAACACAAAGAAACACTCAGTATCAACAATAATAATAGTAATAGTAAACTTCATTTGACACAGAAATCCTTCAGTAATGACTGATTTACAAAGATGCTGTGAACAATCGGGACAGAAGAACACAGATAATCTTGATAACCTGGCCATTTGCATGACCAACTGACTTACTGTACTGAGCAAGTGATTGATTCATTGTTGTTTTGTTTCAGTGTTTTACAGTGAGGTTGTATCCAAGTTTGGCATGATGCCATTTACCCTAAGGTGAGCCTGTGCCTTCAAAACACTCGTGTCTTTTGTAAACTCTTGAAGTTTATACTATAAATTTATTACATGAACCCATTCAAAACTCATCGAAATAACAAAGAACTAAACAAGTAGTAATTGGAAGGAAAACATAAGGATGATTGCCCACCTTGCCAGTTAGATTTAGGGTAGCACGGACCTGTGGCCATAAAGTCTGTCTGCGCAGGCGTGGGACTCGGGGTGGCGGGGGGCATGTCTCGTCTATGATCTAGGCTATTCTATATACTCTATATTTTATATTTTATATTTTATTATTTATCTATTTATTTAATTTTCCCATAGTTAGCGTGATAACTTAATGTATAGTTCCTGCTGACAATAAAATGTAGATGTAGATGTAACATGATTGGCGTATGCTTCTAACGTTTCGTCTTTCATCACTGTGGATCCAAAGGTTTGGATCATTGGTTCCAGCCCTGCAGATGCCACATGTGAATTGAGTTGATGTGTGGTTCTCTCCTGTGCCACGAGGGTTTTCTCCAGGTTCTCCAGTTTCCTCCCTTAGTAAAAATTAACATATGAGTTGAGTTTTGTGTTCATAAAACACTRAATGTAAGGATGTTGTAGTGTGTGTGAGTGAAAAGTGCGAAAGCTCTAGAATGACTAGAGACTTAAATAAAGATATTTCTTCAGCAAACTACTTCAAATGTAAATAAATTCGGTCCAGTCAACATTAGGAATCAAAGGGCACAGGGAACCCAATCTTTGAAAAGTGCCAGTAGTTTCTACGAGTTAGGGTGCATTTGATTTTCTTAGTTTACCAGTTCTAAGTTGTGCTTATTTTCTTTTCTCAGAGCATTTGATGAAGAACGCAAGGCAAAAATGGGAGTTGTAGAATGCCAGAAACACAACCTAGTGGAACCATTCAACGTTTTATGGGACAAAGAAGGTAGGCACTAGCCTGTTGATACCATTTATACTTGTTCTATTTCAAATCAAGCAATGAACAACATCCTTAAAAGGTTTTCTCAAGTTTTCTCATTTCAATTTTGGGCCACCATTTTGACTCCATCAAAAATATGAGTATCTGAAGTTAAGTCCAATACATTAAAAGTAAATAATAATTATATATTCATATGATGTATTCATTTGTTTTTAGGTGAATACGTGGCCCAGTTCAAGTTTACGCTGTTACTTATGCCCAATGGAAATATTAGGTAATAAAATATTCATGATATGGTATAACTGTTTAGGAACTAGTGCCCTGTGAATTCTTGTTAGAATGTGTTAGAATACACCCTTTTGGCTTGGGTGTAACGATTTCCTATTTCAGATTACATGTCATTCTCTGGAGAATGATATTCTTTGTTTGAGTTGTATTCATATTCATGTGTCTACTCATGTGCAACCGTTAAACAAAGAAGTCATACTCTAGGGAATGACATGTTGTCTGTAATGGGAAATAAATTAAGCTAAAAGGGTCTATTAAGTTGGAGGTTTTTGATCTAGTCCCAAAATCAGTCCAAACCGATCTTGTGCATTACATTTGTGATCCACTCTTGCTAATGCAGACCCCCACCCCACCCCAGCAATAAATAATGATGTATCAATGCTAATCCCAAACCTATGCTAAAAATATTATTTCTTCAGAATCACCCAAGGACCTTACGACCCTGATCTAATCCAGTCAGAACATTCTATAGAAGATGAAAAAATTAAGGTACATGTTCACCTATCCAAAAAAAACGTTGGTGGGAGATCTGGAATTTGAAATCTCAGACCGATTAACACTCCTCAAATCGTAATATATTTACAAGCAAACATCGTAGTTTCTTTTAGATTGAAATATGATGTCTGACCTTTGAGTAAGAAGTGCGTTTTCCGTATTTTAGTCATAAGATCACAAAAACTGCTTTTGGTCTCAGATCGTCCATTTAAGATCTTCCATTTCAGATCTTGGGCCCACAAAGTTTTTTGAATTAGATGTATACTAGAACTAGAAGATAAGAAATATAAAAAAAGTATATAATGTGCAAGGGTCGTTGGGTCGAACCTACGATAAGATCACCCCCATCAAAACAACAAAGTTCAATTTCTTGTTTGTGTTGTTTTAGGAAATTCTCGCACAGTCTACCAGTAGGAAAGCTCAAAAGAAAAAGAAAAAGAAGGTAGATATGTTTACTCTTAACTTCTTTCCTCTCTCCTCTCCTCTCCTCTCTCCTTTTCTCCCCTTGTAACTTTTTAAGCCCCTCAAAAACGAGAGTACTCTAAGAATCATAAATGGACATAATTACGATTTTCTCTCGTTGCAGGCATCGTCGAAGGCATCCGATGCAACAGTAGAAGCAAAAGAAGATACAGAGTAGACTAAATAATCCAAAACAAAAAACGAAACCCAACCACCACAGAAGGCCCTGTTTATTAGTCAACAAAAATACACTGCGTTACTGTTGAACAACTAGTGTACTTCATATATACACAGATTCCTACAAATATCGCAGTAATTTTAACCTTGATTCAAGTTTCGATGTGTTATTTTTTTTATTTCTTTCTCACGAAGTGAGTGAGTATTCTGTCGTTTGTTGAATTCCAATTAGCTTCTTCAAGATTTTTTTCCCAAAGAGAGCTCCTTCCTTCACAAAGTGAGTTTTCTTTGTCTTTTCTGTTTTGATTAGTTTTTGGTTCGATTTTTTGTTTGTTCGTTTTGTTTTTTGTTTTGTTTTGGATTTTTTTCCCCCAAGAAAAGTTTGTTTTAATTCCCATTAGTTTCTCCCAAAGCAAGTTTATTTCTTCAGGAAATGGAATGTCATTTGTCTTTTTTCTTCATTTTTTCCCCGATTTTGTTTCTTTGAATTTTGTATAAAATTTATTTTTTCAATTTCCATTGATTTCTCCAACAATAGTCTCCTTTACAGTTCCTTGCGCCATCTTGAAAGGTAGCCGTGCCTTTGCATCGAAGCGAGACGAACGGTGAGCTTACAATGATAAAGACGTAAAAAACTGTCCAATGTGTGACGACAAGGTCTCTATCACTGCAAGGTTTCTGTTCGTCTCGCTTCGATACAAAGGCACGGCTACCTTTGAAGATGGCGCAGGGAACTTTTCCCTCATAATCCGTATTATTTTCTTGTATCTTGATAAAACTGTTACGTGCAATCTAACATGTAATCGAACCTTCCTAAGGGTTTATTTAAACGATATAACTTACTGGCAGTACAAAGAACTCTGGAATCATTAAATACAAGACCTTCCTAATCTACAAGATTGTGCTAACTGGGGGAAATATCTTTGTTATCGACCTTATTCCKGAGTCATTCATCCGACTTACTTCAAAGAACGTCGACCTAAGACTGAAATGAATTGTTTGTTGCAAATGTGCTGTAAATGGTTTTTGCGAATTGTTTTTTCCTTTCCCCACCCTCCATATGCGTTTGTCTTCTCATGTGCAACAGTTGAACAAAGAAATCATACTGTAGAGAATGACACATGGTCACACCGAGGAGGTCTATTGTCTAGCTATCACTAAATAGCACAATTTCATGCAAATTCCATTGTTTTCTATTGTTTGATTAGCATTATTTTGTAGTATTTAGTAATTAGTGTTTCACGGATTAATTGTTTGCACTCTAGCGTTCAGAATATATATGGAAATAAGCCATTCAAAACATTTGTCATTGATCCCGCCCCACAAACGTCGCTACTGTTTTTTTCGAAACTGAAATGGTTTTTAAGGCCACGTACATAAGAAATGTCAAGGTTATGGACGTCCACTAAAACTTACCAGCGAATTGCACTATTTCACTATGACGTCACTGCTTGTTTATGTGGGGATAGAATCGCCAAATCCAATAGAAAATTCAACAAAATTTGCTCCTAGCGAAACAGTTTAATCTAAAATGGCCTGGTTTTCAGATATAATTTGTGTTAATATGTACTAAAAAATATTCTGAGCGTTTACTGGCTATTCTACTTCTCTTCGTGGATTGATACGGGTTTTAGAACAATTTTCGGTGAATTTGCGTTGATTTGACCCCCTCCGACGACCATGATCCTTTGCGTTTAAACAATAGATTGTTTTGATGTAAAAGTAAAAAATCGATGTAACTTGCGAGCAGATCCAGCCTACTCCTTTTACAAGAAACATTGGAGTTACATTTGATGAGCATATGTCCCTAGAAAATTGAAATTATGAAATTGTGCTATTTAGTATTAGTAAAGTTTCACGGCTATATTGTTTGCACTCTATGAGTCATCAACTACCATTTATAAGTAATTCCGTCCATATGTTATGGGATGGACCGCTCTCGGTACGAGCTACTCGGGATCTTTATTCTACTTTCTCTTCTTCAGTTCTATACTCTCTGCTCTCCTCTATCTCTATCTATACTCTTCTGACTAAAACTAATTACATGAGCTCTATTTATAATAACTTCATGACATGTGTCATTCTACAATCAATATGATATTATCACTGAGTCTTGATTGGCTAATTGAAATATCAAATTCCTAAGCGTGATATCTTATTAAAGAGTAATACGAGTGAAAATCATAGAACTAAACATAGCTTAAACTAAAGATAATTTATGAATATATGGTAAATGTATAGAAAGGTCTACGAGGAATAATTATATCATAAGATTTAAAAGAATAGTGCCAAAATAACTAAGCAAAGGGGTAAAGAGTGTTTAGGGTGTAACCATAGGTGTACATGCTAATGGGAGGAGCTAAGAAGTTTACTTGCAAATTCAAAGCATACCATCATCTAAACTCGTGCGTGATGGTAGCCTTACTGAAATCTTATATCGATATTTTCAATAACTAATTGATCGTTCTTTATCTTGTTTTCATACGATAAGAAATAGTAAATAAAAGCTGATGTCTAGCTTAGTCTGTAAAAACATTAATTTTCTCTCTCATAACACATACTTCAGCACAATCAACTTCTTATAGCCGGTCGGGATATTCCACGTGGAAAGATTTCATTAGCGTTTAACATAGCGACCTGATATATTCAAGTATGTGCTTTCTAATATTTACACTGACGAGCTCGTGCATTTGTCGAGCTTCATTTTCATTTATGTTGAAATTTGAGGAGCCATCTCGACTGATCTTCATTGTTGCCACCATTTCGAAAACTTTCGCTTTCTGTCTTACCTAAACACAGATGCTGGCGATAGCGTAACTTAGCGTTCTCGACGTTTTCAAACACTATGAAAAAGCTTTTTATCTCCAAGAAACTCTTGTGAGTATCAAGTCGAAAGCACAAGTATAATCAAACCACGAAAAGACATTTTGAATATTGTTTCTATCTAGCAATAGAATAATTTTTTTAGAGCGTGAAGTAAAGAAGAAGTAGTGTATTTTTCGCAAAAAAATTCCCAACAGAAAAAAAGTGCCTAGTTCTAACGTCGTTTATCAATCACGTGTATGGAATATAATTAACAAATTTGTTTTTGAACTTTTAAAAGTGAAATTTAAAAAAACCTAAAAAGTGAGTCAGTTTGACCATGTAATTTAATCAAAGTTCTGAACTTTTTGAATCAGTTTGAATGAAGCATTGGACCGTACGACTCTTCGGGAGAATTTGTGATGAACTGGGCTTGAAGTTCGACATATAGAGTGCTTTTAGTAAAAGCCTTAAACGCTAATTGCTAATTAGTACAATTTTGTACTATTTTGTTAAAAATTAGTTTAAGCGTGAAGAGCAAATGCGCACGTGCGTCGAATAAAAAATTAACACATTACGCAAGTGAAATGTTTTAAAGTTTTTATTCCTTCAGGCTGCTGCAAAATCAAGACACAAGACACAACTAAAGCTAAAATAACCACAATACGCAAGTGAAATGATTTGGAACTTTCACCTTACAAATTACTCTGGCTTGCTTTAAACGTTAATGTAACGATGACCTAGTCGTTTTAATTGGTTTTTGTACACAAGCGTTTCTAAAGCGCGCTCGACTGCGCTTGATTATTCGCACAATCGCGGTTCAGTGATTGCACGTGCACACTAAATTTACTAATTATACAGCTTCTCATTAATCCCATATAGGTAACTGTCCAATTATTTTCTTAATTGGACAGGTCTTGTTGATATGGGATTAATTAGGCAGCTATATAATTAATAGGTAATGGGATTTCATACTCCCCAATCAAGAAATAATTAGACTCGAAAAATTCCTCTGACTGCCAAATTGGATGAGGCCTACGGCCTCATCCAATTTTTTCAGTCCTCGGAATTTTCCTCGTCCAATTATGGAGTCCTATTACATATACTAATTGCTAATTTGTACAAAATAGTACAATTTAGTACTAGTTAGTGTCACGCTTTTACTAAATGCACTCCTAAAGTTGAACTTAATAAGAAAATAAGTATCAATATATTTGACCATAGCATATGCGAAGTTTAAAATCTAAACTATGAGGTCAATAGAGTGCACGCACAAAAACCATAAACATTAAATAGTACTAATTAGTACTATTTCATACAGAATCCTTTGTTTTCTATTGTTTAATTATCACTATTTAGTGCTAAAAATTAGTATTTGTTTCACGGATATAGTGTGAGCACTCTACCAAAATTTATGGAGGATTTTAAATGAAGGCGGATCAAATTCGGTTTATATGTAAAGATTGTTTTGAATAAGACTGAACAAGAGAAAATGAACTAGAGTGATTGCCATATGACCGTCAAAGAAAATAGACCATTTTGTTTGTAATAGTTGATAAAGAGCAAAAGAAAATCATTGGTTTAGAGTCTACTACTAACTATTAGTTTGCCTATTYTTTCACGATCACATGAAAATCACTCTATCCTRATTTTCTCTGAAACATTGGCATGTTCGTACAATAAAGACCGTTTTGTCAAGGTTGCGTGCGCATCCAATTTTGACGGACCACGAAACTGAAAAACACAAATTTAATATGTGAAATTGAGAAGACAGTTTTAAATTTAAAGAGGAGAATAATCAATTTTGTGAATTCTTGTCGAAAAACCTCATAGAAATGTATAATAATTCTCATTTTAAAGCTCTTGTTCTGGTATCGTGGCCCGTCAAGTTTCGTCAAGCGATCAACCTTGAGAAAAGGGTTTATTGTTGAACTTAAAACTGACTCAGTTAACGCGTACATTGTATTTTTAAGCTTTTTTCGGTTTCTTTAAGACTCGAAAATCATTCAAAGCTGTCAAAGTTGCTTCATTTTCACAATAAAAGCAAAAGCTATACGATTGCGAGTTACTATATTTTGGATTTTTGGATTTTTTTTGAAGAGCTTGTACAGTCTGGAACTTAGAATCTGGCTTAGAGGTCTTTATTAGAAATTATAATTCGGATTTAACTGATAAGAGAAATTATACCTCTGACATTGCTCTCCCCTCCCTTCCCCTCCCCTATGATTAAAACCTCTCTCGCCGCTGTGGGCGACGTGAGTTAGATCAATTTACCAGGAATCACTTGTGGGTATATATAGAGTTGCTTGATCGTTCTCTACTGCATGAAAAAAATTAAAAACCTTGCTTCGTAAAAATCGATTTCTAAATCCAATTTGATCATCGAGATAGGGACGCGAGTACTTGGGACGTTGCTACACGTCCGATGTAAGTGTGTGTATGTGGCTGGGAGGAGGGGAGGGGAGACGACGGAGGGGGGGTTGGAGGGGGGTTTGGAGTGGGTCTTCAGAGACTAAGGTAATTAGAAACGTTTTATGAGTGACCACAGTAAATGCGTGGAACTTTAGTAATACTAAATAGCACAATTTCATGCAAATTCCATTGTTTTCTATTGTTTAATTAGCACTATTTTGTACTATTTAGTAATTAGTGTTTCACGGATTAATTGTTTGCACTCTATTGCACCGCGCTAATCAGATTTTCCCTGGACTGATACAAATTAGCCACTAGCCATTGCTTGAATTTGCTCTAAAATCCACGGTTTTCATTTTTCTCTTTGAATTTAGCTTTCGCTAGATTAAGATCAATCTTCAAGACCTTTGAGCCATCACATGTGAGTAGAGTTTGTTAGGTCTTTCCCTTGATCCAAGGGTTTTTCTTCAGGTACTCCGGTTTAATTTTCCTCATTCTGCAAAACTATCAGTGGGAGCTAGGTAGCTTTGCCCTGGCTTAGTTCAGCCCTTAGGTTGTTTCAGGGTTCTATCTGTGAGTTAGTCGTGTCCTGACTTAGTTCAGCCCTTAGGTTGTTTCAGGGTTCTATCTGTGAGTTAGTCGTGTCCTGACTTAGTTCAGCCCTTAGGTTGTTTCATGGTTCTATCTGTGAGTTAGCCGTGCCCTGACTTAGATCAGCCCAAAGGTTGTCTAACAGGGTTCAAACCTAAGTTTTTTTAAGAATAATTCTATAGCCGAATAATAAAGTTCAAGATTAATGCTTGGAGATCTCAGGTAATTGAGTAACGCCTCGTGCGCTGACTTTCTCTTTCCAGCATCAACGTAAAGTGAAAATGAAGAAAAGGTTTGCTTCGGAGTGATTAAGATAATTAAATGAATCCCTATGACATAGAAATTTAATGATTCTATTAAAACAGGAGCTTAAAACCCGGCCTTCAACAATGACACTAAATAAAGCTTGTTAACTTGGGTTATCTGAACTATATAGTTAGATGTGTACAATATCCCCAATTACGGTGAATAAATGTTAGTACAATACTAGAGTCCTAGAGTAAAAACAGAGTGCCACTGTCATCGCTATCTAAAGATACTCTACCCTAGTTCTATACAATTCCATATAGCTTAATTCGTTTTTGCTTTCAGTCTTTGGCTCTATAAATAAGGTTCAATAACATTAAGACGTCGCTCAGTTGTGTTGTATATTTCTTTAGTAGACAGAGCGAGCGCTGAAGCACGTGGACCAGCAATGGTTCTGAAAAACAGAGTCGTTTTTTATTCTTTTCTTGTGTGCTGTAGTTTGATAAGACCTTCATCCGTGGACGCCTTAAGTAAGTATTTTTTTAGCTTTTATAATGGCACAGACAGACAGACAGAAAGACAGACAGACAGACAAC